TAAAAACAGAACACCTTGTATATTACTGTATATTAGAGGGTGGTATATGTATTAGCAAGGGCCCCTACGCCAGAATGATTTTAGCAAGGACTGGAAGCAGTCCGCAAATGATAATCACTAATCAGTCTAATCAGCTAGCGTACGATACTCTTTGCACTGCTGTGCTCCTAATACCACAATTTTGTTTTTCCAATATTACGGTTTTGCTCGAAAACATTTTGTTTGAAAATTAAATTAGGTGATTGATCATTTTTTAAACAGTCAGCAGCTAATCGTAATGAGAAAAAATGTAAGTTTGATGCTATTGATTGATTTGAAATTTTTTCTCATTACGATTAGGTTCTAAGCAACTACACCGACTAATTTTTTCACAAATGTATCCTACTCATCAGTAGCGCGCGAGGTACTTGAAATATAACAAACGGCCACATTTCAGTACCGCGCGTGGTCAACATTTCCTAATCCCATTAAAAAGCTACGGCAACTTTACTATGACAATATTTTGGGCACTTAACTTTGAGTTTTGTTCCCTGTAATTACCTGAAAATGTTTGATTCAACAGTGAGTGGTGAGTGCATCAATGAACAATTGAATCAAATTTTCACAAACTAGAAAACCCACTTTCTTTCGTCTTTAACATGCAATTATTTTGTAAATTTGGCAAACAATTTATATAATCTACCACAAAAATTAAAAATAATCCACACTCTTAATATGACAGATCAACAATATAGTTATTTGGGTAGCTTTAAATATTCCCGAAACAGGTAATAAACTTTCTAAACATTAGGTAAAGACTAATCCTATCCGGCGCGTAAATAATGAGTAGGATTAAAATAACTCTTCATTCCCAGGTAAGAAAGCTAAATCGCGCGCCCTAATGACAAATCAGCATCATGTAGACACAAATACGTGTGTTAATTTTAACATGTAACACATCTCGATAAATAATACATTTTTTCTATTTGTAACTTTTCACGAAAAGCTTTCAAATTTGGAAAAGATAACATATCAAAACAGAACTAGGTACATTACTTGGGGTTATTCTGTATTCTGCAACTCTTTAATGTAATTATTGAATCTTGTATAAATGTTCATTTATAAAACAGTTTACATTTACTGATAAAACTAAAGGTACTCATTTATATTATAAAAAAAATACTTCTTATTGAAGTGGGTAAGTAGGTGATAATGCAGCAAAAACATTTTACTGTACACTGCTGGTTGCATTGTTGACAACCAAATGGCAGCTCCTTTAGAGTAAATTTTAGTACATACATGTTTTAGAGTAAACCGTTCTGTCGGTCTGTCCGTTGAAGAAGATAAATTTATATGACATTTATGGTAAATGATCCGTTGTAGAGAGAATTTTTTACATTACATTCCTGTCTATTAGTTACGTTCCTACAACAATGTCCGTTATCAAGAGGTGTCAGCTATCTAGAGGTGTCCGTTAAGGGAAGTTTTACTGTATTATTATCTAGAGGCGAATGATTCGAAAAAAAACCGCTTGGTATCATACTTTATATTCACCCCTGTATGAGTCCAAGATTTATAAAGTTAGAAGATTGCCTCATAACTTGGAGTGAGAGACACTAAAGAGCGAGTAAGATGGCTATATAGGGTCGTCAGTGGAGTGATGCTCGAACACCCGCAGGTTGCAGACTGTCATTAAGAAGGTGACCAACCATCCTGACATGTTTAGGTTTTTATTGTCTTGTCCTGTTTTACATTTATGTCTCGATTTAAGGACCAACACACCAAAGTGTGCAATTTTTTGAGATTTTCATTTGCAGCAAAAACAAGTTAAAGTCTTCTTTTTGTTGTCAATTTTGATTTTGAATTGTTGGTCATCTTATGTCAGATTTGTGTAATTGTGTTGTTATTATTATTGTGCTGCATGTTGCATTATTTACGACATCTTTTTTTATAGATCTTGCATGCTTCTAGCCTTATTTTTAAAATCCTGTAAGCGGCAGGACCAGTTTAAATAAAAAGAAGATTATAAAGGTTTGTAAGAATTATTCAAGTAACATTAGAATCGCATTTTAGGTGTTAGTAATTGATGTTTGTTATTAGAAAACGTACTTTGATAATGTAACCATATGGTCACTTTGCTTATTTACGAAATGTTACAAATTTAAGGTTTATTCAAAAAAAATCGTCTTCCGATGAGGATTCTGTTGTTACTTCTGGATAATCTGTCTCAGATATAACTTCTCCTGTTTCATCTGCTAAACAACTCTTTTTTGAATCAATTTCTGAAACCAAAACTCTAGCAAAAATAAAATTTTGATCATTTTCATCTGTTTCACTTTCGAAATAGTCAGATAAGTCTGAATGAAATATTTTTTCAGGAGGTAGACGAAATTTATCCCGCTTTTCAGGCATGTTTGTTTTTTTTTATATAAAAACACCTTGTCTTGATTAAAAATAAGTTCATAATCTGTTTAAAAAATAAGTACTTTAGAGGCATTGCAACCATATGGTTACGTATAAATTTAATTGCAAAAAACATCAAACTATTTCTAGATTGAACTAAACTAAGTTACTAGAACTGTCATTCTATTCATAATAAATGCCCCAACATCAAAATTTTCATAAAAGTTTGTTTTACTTAGCGAAAATCTATGCTAACATAACCGAAAAAGTTTACTTGAAAATTTAAAAGTTTAAAAAAATATGATAGGTGGTGCTGTTCCTACCATTTTATAAAGGTAGTAACCATACGGTAACATCGCCAGAAATAGGCGGAAAATGCCTGGTTTTAAAATAGAGACATTTGAATTCAATATCAATATCGCAAAAACTAGCTTCGTGTTCAGCGGGTAATTTTACGTCTAAAAAAACATGTTTCAAGCGTTTTTAAACTCAAATAATTCGTAAGTTTAAACTTGACCCAATAACGTTTTGTGCACTTTTTTGAGTCTTTAAGATCACTACAAATGTAAAAAACGTTATATGGATCCATTTTATAGTTAAAATTTTATTGATTTTTGTCAAGATTTTGTTCGATTTTTGGCATCCGGAGCGGTCTATTTATAATAACTCCGGACTTTGTCGAGATAACCTTAAATAGCTATCGAGATAAATAGTTATGGAGAAAATTTCTGATAAACAAAATAAAGAAAAATTAATAAAATTATAAATTAAAATATTGCAAGTTTTAACAAAATAAATTTATTTTTTTTATTTTATTAATGAAACAGTGATTAGTTTGACAACTACTGTCATGGGTTTCCAAAAATTAAATAATTAAATGTGTATTTTTTGTATATTGTGTTGTGTGACTTTTGTATATTTGGGTGCGTACATTAGGCGCAAGCCTCGTAAAGTCATGTGAAACACCCTGTATATTTTATTTATTTTACCCTTAATAAAAAATATTTTAGTTTTTTAACTTACTAATATGTTTGGTTACATACACTGTGTCAATTTTAAAACTTGCAATCGGCAATTTCTCTCAACTGAAAAAGTTATTAATAATCACTCAAAACCGTTTTGTGGTTCCTAGGGGGAATTAAAATGACGTGATAAGTGACACACCTCCACCCACCCTTGAATATAGTAAAAAAATGAAAATTTAACGTCTTCGTTTTTGAATAATTGGAAAAATAACTTTACCAAATAGGCTGTTGTATGACATTTTTGAAAAGCGCTTGTTATGGGCTTTCCAACGATGTATCGCAAGTAGGGTCGTGTCATTTAAAATTTTCAACTTAAGGTGGCTGTGGCTTGAAGGGTGGGTGGAGGAGCGTCACTTACCATTTTGATTTTTGATAAAAACTACCGAAACGGTTTTGAGTGATTCTCAATAACTTTTTTAGTTCTAGCAGGGCCGTAACCAGGATTTTATTTCGGGGGGGGTTTCTTGTTGGCCCATGAAAATGAAATGAAAAAAGGCGGATTAAAAGTCAAAAATCTCTAAGTACACGTTTTTATTTTAAAATAAAATAAGAGATCCTAATTAAACATAAAAAAATTCAAATTAACTCACAAAAGTAACAAAAAATAAAATAAATTTTTAATACTTTTTATTGTTACAAATTTAAACAGGAGATGAATATTCATTTTTAAAACAAAATTTTTTTATGAACATATATCGAAAAATGCTACGCAAGGGGTGCGTCTTTTAATAGTTTATTTTTCAATATTTCCGAAATCATTTTAGAAAAAAATTTCAAAATGTGCTACAGATGATAACTTTTATACACCTAAACAAGTACAAAAATTAAATGTAAATTTTTTTAATTAGGTGCTTCCTAAACTAGATGGGATTAGGGTAAAAATTTACTCTAACTATTTTGCCTGTGGTTTCTTGCCACTTTCAGCAACAAAATTTCATAGTTTTTCATAGAAAAGGTCTTTTGTGTTTTTCCGATACAATTTACGGATTTTTTGTAAAAATCAGTTTAAAAATTTATGTTACAGACCATAAACAGCATAAAAATTAAAAATTAAATTTGTTTTACCGTTTAGGACGCCCCTGATTAAAAATTTTGTTATTTGGCATTTGTTTGGGTGTACATATAAAGGTACCAAATTTTGTAATTTTATCTATTCTGAAATATTAGGAAAAACCCTTTAAAAAACGTACCTTTTTTAGGGGGTGTAGCTCCTTTTCATAGCATTTTTCAAAACACTTTTATCTTAAAATTT